GTCAGTGGATAATCGTGACGAGAGGTAAATAACGAGGAAGTAAGTTTCTCTTAATTAAAACTATTGAGTAACGCATTCCACTTTAATGTCTCAATTTCAATTATGCAACTCGCTCATGTTTCAATTAATTGAGATTTAAAAAAATGGGGAAAATTATTAGAAATTAGGAAGATTTGATATATATATTTTTATGTACGATCGAGATTCATGCGAGTACAATTGAAGACAGACGGGATTGCGGAAATAGAGGGTGGGGAGTGTCCTCGATGATTTTGAAAACCGCTAGAGTTCTTGCGTAGATATTACACCCGGTCAATCACGTGCCAGAAGATCATCGTAATATCCAGATAAAACAGAAGTGCACAGCCAGAATTCGGTGCACACCCGGATTACCCGTCGACGCAGTCGTGCCTGAATAGTGATCGAAAATCCTACATAACTAATTTCTACTTTAAACATGGTGCGTGTGTAAACATAAACGTAAACATAATCATTTATATCAAACAATCTTTGTCGAAGAATTTAAACAAATTTTTGTGTTTTATTTGAATTTTGTTGGAATTTTTGAAAATTCTGAACGATTTTTATTCCTATTTTAATTGTGTTTCTGTTTTACGATTTTAGGATGATCTGAACAAGGATCAAATTGCTCGTGAGTAGTGACACTGATTAATACTTGAATNCAGTGGAGTCACTAAATAATTAAATCACACTTCAGATTATTTAAGTATAATCACATTTAATTGATTTTAATTACCATGATTTCGATTCGAACTTATCACTTGTCACAGAGATTAATTGTTTGACGATCAGACGTGAGTGAACGGTGCCGATAGAACTGTCACACTGTGGCTTAGTAAACTAATTAGCAGTGCTGTCAGGGATTCTTATTAACACCGACAGGTGATCGGCAATCATCGGTTAGTCTGAAGGCACTATAAAAAGATTCTTAATCGGGAACCCTTTCATTGTGCTTTGCGAAACGTTGACGCAACGGATGAATGACGGGCCACGTACCAGCCTAAATCAATCACTGATACATTCTGTATAATTGTTTACGTCTTATAAAAATTGCTATATCATAATACATTTCATTATAATTATATCTTATTATAATTTTATAGCAATTTTAATTATTATTAACATTTCTATTGATTTTTATTGTAATAGTTATAGTCTTTTATAATAAATGATTCATAGTACTAACAATTCGGGTTGCACAATTACTAGTGCGGTTGCTATAATTGTTTACGTCATATTGCAACCTTAATAATATTGCATAAATATTGTACAAT